TTTGTGGAGTACCAGAAAAGAAAATACAATGGGACCCAGGCTCGACAAAACTCGGTGTGCAGTGAAATTCAGGGTCGGTAAAAACAGGATCGGAGGTAGTGGTGGTTTAAGGTATATATAAGAGAAGCCATTGCAAAAGCCGTATACGCCATGCTGGTATTGCTTGCTCAATATCAGCCTTGACACGACACCAATTACCCGAAGCAGCTTCAATGAGAAGGCAATGCAGTGAGGTACGAATCATAAGTTGGGGGCCCGAACGAAGATCAACAGCGAAGGACCTAACCGAAGGTGTTGGCAAGAGAGGTAAACAGTGAGGGGGTGTAGATACAAGGGGTGCCGCATAAGAGCCAACAGGTGTTGGTAAAAGAGGTGCTATGTGAGAAGGATCAGCCGATGCAGGAACGGATGGAGCAGCAATAGATGTGGTAGGGAGGGAAACAGGAGGAGCTGAAGCATGAGGAGGTAGAGGGGGCTGAGGAGCAAAGGGACAAGGGCCCATTTGTGTCCAACGATGAGGGCAGAAGTGTCGTCCTGGAGACGGCAGTCTAGCCATTGGAAGGATTGCATTGAAACCGACCGCGTGAAGAGTTTGAAGTTTCCGAACCCAGAAACCCTCGCGGGGTGCAGCAGCCCGTCGAAAGACATGATCAACAAGACCTTCAGACGTATGATAAAGGGTAGAATCGATGCATTCCAAGGGCCAAGCAGCAAAGTTGAATGCTGGCATGCTCCTGCAGAATACAAGTTAGTATTCCACTCCAGGTGTGCACGCCAATCTACACGATGAGAGAGATACCTGGCGGTTTGACATGCGAGCATGAGCAAACGGAACATAGTGTCCAAGAGGAAAGCTTGGTATAGCACTTGCCATGCCAGCGGCAGGAAATCTCCCGAGAGGGGTGGAAAGTATCGGGGTAGCCCCTTGATTATTCCTTAGTTGTAGATTCATTGTTGATGGGTTATGGAACAATTATTTTTTTATTTTTCAATTTTCCAATGCAAAGAAATGGAGGTGAGTGCACAAGGTGAAAGGACTTTAGGCCCAACGGCTCAGGTCGGGATCCTGCCGTCGTCCTTTTTGTCTGCTGTTCACCGCCAGCAGCATTGTCAAAGAGGGCGCTCTGGTTTGAATGCGAAACTGCATCTCCCAATGAGTGTGCTCACAGCAGCAATGCCAGGAGCCTTGCACCGACAGACCAACAGTGCCTACAGAAAAAGATGTCACCAAGCAGTTGACACATGCATAAACCAGCGTAGAAGGATTATCTCAAAGAACATGGAACAAGAGATGAGTGGGCATGGGGGCAGCCGCCCGGGTGTGGCCAACCTTAGGCGGGCCGTAACTATACCCACTGTACGGGAAAGGGGTACAACCCATGCCCTTGCGGTGACCGCCATCACAATCACATCGTGCACAGAAGGAAAAATAGTACATAACAGTTGTACACAACGAATAGACAAAACAGATTGTACACAAGGAATGTACATGTAAGGGATGTACAACAGGAATGTACATAGTTACAAAGAGCCAAGCAAAACATCCGTAACAACATCTGTCATAAAAAAGAGTGAAGTAGTTGAGTTTATCATGAAACCAGCAAATTGGGCATACAACTCCGGCAAAGCGCACGGGAGGTTCGTCAACAGAGGCAACACACACACACACACATATATATAGAATACAAGTACAGTAAATGCGACCTTGTTTGTTTTCTGTTTTGAGCTAGTCAGCAGCAACAATGTGGTGGTATTTTTACCACGCGATGAAACCACCATGCTCTATGGAAAGGGTGTCTCAATGAAAAGAGTGACCAACTCACCCTGTTTTTGAGCCGGGCACAGTCTACGTCCAGCCCTTTCGACAAATTGCTGAGTTCAATTCATAAACCAACAGGTCCTCTTGCTGTAGCTAGTTTCTTTGTCCGATCCAAAAGCACCTGTTGGTTCACAAGAAACACAGACAGTGGAAGCAAACCCTGAACCTCGGGAAAAAAGGTTATAGCAAAACACACATACTGCAACATACACAAACAAACACACACATATCCATGGCTGAGTGGGTGTGTAGAGTGGGTTTTATGACTGTGCGTCTGTGACAGATTTGTTTGTCAGCCTTACTGCCCCTCTCATCAGGGGTTTGGACTGACAGTCGACCTTCTTCTCCCGAAATACAACGAACAGTCATTATAGCTGTATTGGGGGGGATCATTCAGTCTTGCAGGGTTGGCATGAGTAAAGTCGACCACTTTTCTCAGGAGTATTGCTAACTCTGGGGGACAAGGTGAGTCCTTACTCCTTAGCCATCAGTCTAATGCATCCTGGACAGACTGCCGGGGTTCAACCTCCTGATGAGTTGGTGAAAGTCGGACGAAACAGTCTGGCACAGTCAGGCTTTTTCTTGTGGAATTGTATATAGCCAACATGACAACACACACACACACACACACACACACACACACACACACACACACACACACACACACACACCAACGGCGGCGATAACAAAACTAGAGAGATGAAAAGGCCACACACACACATACACACCAACAGAGACAACAACGACACTAGACAAGCAAAAAGACAACCCTCACCTTCTCTGTTTCCCCGTTTCCTCTCTTTTACAAGTCCAGAAAGACAACGAAGAAAGGATGACACATTGTTTTCACTGCAACAAGACACCAAGCGAACAGTATCCAACACATTTGAAGACACAAAGTGCCATGTGTAATGAGCAGCCAAACACGGACTGAGACACAGCTGATTTCTGAGTTTTGCTCATGGAATGTATGCCTTACTGAGTTTCCCGCTCGTTGCTTTCTAGGTCTGTGTGGGTGCGTGCTTGCTGGCCTGCATGCCTGTCTGAGTGCTTGTCGGCTTGAGTCTGTGTGTGACCCGCAAGGGCACTTGGTTGTTTGAAAGGCCCGAAGGGCTGGTACTTACCTGTGGCCATGACATTGAGGGTTGCAGCGCGGAAAACACTCAAGTAGCAGGTACGCCGGTACCACACCAAGTAGAGGTAGATGTGCCGAGTACTCGAGGCCGAGCACAAGAAGACAAAAGTCGGCATTTTTTTAGAGGCCCAGTAGTTGTAGGCTAGGTCTAGGCGGGTACTAGTTCAACCAGTCCGAGTCTATGTTCTGTACGGGCAATGTCAGAGTCCGCAATGATGTTTCCCTTCAAAAGGGAGGAGGTACCGGTTGCTTGGAGGCCGCGCGGCCTCCAAGTCATTCGCCAAGAGGCAAACAGGCCGCTATATCTCCAGGAGGAACAAGGTGCTCCTCCTCATTGTCGGTGCGCAAGTTTGGCGACACACTGGTTGGAGCGCCGGCTGGAGCAGCGCTAGCACTCAGCGCAGTGCTGCTGGGAAGGAGCAAAGACCGAGAGAGGAGGAAAACGACGAGGAAGAGGGAGAGTACTTACCTGGCTATGGTGGATGCCATCTTCATCACCTTGGTGGGCGCTGCATCTGGAAGGCCCCAGTTGGGGTAAAGCTACACCAAGAAGCTTCGAGGCAGAGTCAGGCATGGCGGCCTGAGGTAGAGCAGCCATAGCTGCTTTGTGTTGTCCTTTGCACAGCAGGGCGATGCCCTGGTAGTCCGCCGTAGCCTCGGCCTTGGAGGAAGGAGGAAGAAGGGTGGCCATGGCTATGGTGGCCCTCCTGTGATACCTGCAGGAGAAGAGGGATTCGGACATTGATTCTGATTCAGCCATTCAACATTATTATTATTACCTCTTGTTTGAATCAGAGGGGAGAAGATAAGGAGGAGGAGAGTGGTTGGCGAAGAAGAAGATCATTCTCCTTGGTCTATGCTGGGGTACATCATCTTCTTCTTCTTTCTTTCTTCTTCTTCTTCTTCTTCTTGTTCTTGTTCTTCTTCTTCTTCTTCTTCTTCTTCTTCTTCTTTCCCTCTCTCTCCTCTCAAGTTCATTGACTTCTTTTTGCAATTGGACGGGATTGTACTTTCTCATGAATGTGCACTTCGAAATTGGCCAGGATCATAACACGTGTAATATGTACTACCTTCAAATGTCATTCGCAGAGAAAAGAGAGTCCTCCCATACCTGCACCGAACAACGCAAGGGCGGCACTTTTGTTTCACTTTATAAGCGAGAAATGAACTGTGCACGCTGAAATAGGTTGAAAGGAAGAAGCATAGCAACGGCCTTCCATTGTTTATGACCAGAACCATGCTTTCCAAGAACAGACATAGCCACCGTCGGGGCTTGTTCCCAGGTATCGCACACGGAATGCAACACAGTTCTGCCACACTCTTCTTCCTCTTCCACATTGTCTGCATGTTATCTGAAGGGTACGAAGTCGGTAGATGTCGAAGCAGCCAACAACTGGTTAGTTAGTGTTAGTCTCACCCGACCGGCCGCCAACGGCTTCGTACTGCTCAAGTATGCGATGTGCTCTTTCGAGTCCATCGCTTTAGGCTCCTTCCCATCTGCTGACTGTGTATACACTATGCATCACAAGTGAGCCCATAGTATTACATAGTATTACGTAGGAGCTTTACATAGTATTACATAGTATTACATAGTACTACATAGTATTACGTAGTATACGTAGTATGAGTTGTACACGTAGTTTTACATAGTATTACATAGTATTACGTTGTCCACACGTGGTATTACATAGGATTACGTTGTCTGCATGTATTGGACACCCAAGAAACATAATCATTTACAGAGACAGCTCCCACTACAATAGGCATAAAGGGGCATGATTGGTACCACAAAGTTCACTACATTGATCGCCCGCATATGTTCTTCCTCTCAGGAGGGGACACAGCTGGCAACTGCCTTCATGACGCAGACACCCGTCTGAGGGCATACTTAGACTAGGACTTTCTTCAACTCAGCTCTGGATGTGATTGCAGTCAGACGCAGCCAGATCCGGCCGTAGTTGTGTGTGGTCAGATACATAAAGAAAAGTGTCAGTACGCCCTGAAGATTCCTCACAAAACATCAATTCAGCCAATACCCTCCTCCTGCTCGATTCTCTCTTGCACGTGGCCCTCGCCACCGTATCATCGCACGAAGTACGGCGCACAGTCGGGGGAAAAATCCAGGGTTGATCAGACCCCACCTCCAGAAGGGGGGACAGGCGCAACATGATTGACCTGATGATTGATGACAGGGCAAACTAATAGGTTAGACCACCAGTGCACCACATATCGGAGGCTGCCGATTTCTTTTTCCAACGGTGGGCCTGGCCGCGCGGCGCCTCCGAGTTTTGCTTGTGGCGACAAAAACTTTCTGCAAGGCTGGGGCCATGTACTAGCGGTTTAAACCAACAGCACGTGGCCCCGGGCAACTTGAGGAGAAGAACGAGAGGCTCGATCTGAAAAAGTCAAGGCCTGGGGCAACCGGACCAAAATGGCTCGCGGCGCCAGCCAAAACAAAAACAAAAACGCCGCGCTGGCATTTTGGCAAAGATCGGCAGGCGCTGGCATTTCTGCCTCATACGAAAGAGGCTCAGATGTACTGGCGGTTTAAACCACCAATACACGGCCCCAGCCTTGCAGCCCGAAACTTGTCGCCACAAGAAAACGAGGCCGAAACGTCGAATGCTGGCCCCGCCGTTGATAAATTCGATCGGCGGCCTGGTTTTCGTTTTGCACCTCCAGAATTTGCGGTGTCAGACCCGCGGCCCAGGTGCCCATGTACTGGCAGTTTAAGGAACTTTCAATGCAACGGCCTCCCCGCAAAAAAGCTGGCATTGACTGTGCGCACATAACAGTCACCGCAAAGAGCATCTAGATTCCACAACAAGATGAAAGGACTACAGGCGCCACAGTCGGAGAGGCACCACCACTGTACCGCCATCCTTGACTACCACCTACGAGCTTCTTTTTCCTGAGGGGGGTTCCCCCCGGCTCGCTGAGCTTAGCCAAAGCACCGGCACAGCACTTTTTCCCCTGTTCTTTTGGCTGGCGCCGCCAGCCATCGGGCAGAGTCCGCGAGCTCCGAGTCTCCAAAGAACCCGGAATGTTACATTCTTGATTCTCAACGTTGTCTGGGAAAGGTAGTGGTGGTTTAGTGGCTGAACGGCATGATTCTCTGAGTCAGCGAGTAACATGGCGTCCGCATGCATGTGGATGTGGAGGGACTGCATGTGAATGCAGACGGTGCATAAAACTGGGAAAAGGGGCAGCAGTCCTGTGCACACTGTTATGGCTGCGGTGGAAGCCATGTCATTCCCGCGTTGCGAACAGATATGATGCGCTGGTAGTTTTCACATCCTCCTACAGCAACCGCAACCCTGCTGAAGTAAAAAGGGGGGGCCCTCCTAGAGTAATTGTACCCTTGATGAAGTAAGAGGGGGGGGAAAGGGGGACAAGCACATGGGTTTCGTTCCTCTTGCCATAGACGCGCGCGGACAAGCAACCCGCAATGTAGAAGAGCAGCCGTCTCTCGCAGGATTACCGCCCTCTTTGTAAGGACGGAGGAAAATGCTGATAGACACTTGCAAAGAGATCATGCCTGCTGCTTAAAAAAATATTAAAAAAAAAAAAAAAAAAAAAAAAAAAAAAACTGTTGCTGCTGCTGCTGCTGCTGCTGCTGTCCCCTTTACTACAGGATACAGCATGTTCTCAGAACTTCCTTTCTTTTTCCCTTTTTTTCATTGTGCACAGCGCTTTCGAAAAGATGGAAAATGATGATACTATATTAAAAATATATTAAAAATGAAATAAAATGATGACAGACAGTTTGCAAGCGAAAAAAAAAAAAAAGCCCGGCTTCCACTGCAAAACGAAAAAAGAAGGGCGGAAAAAAAGGGAAATCCCTGTTGCTGATGCTCTCCCCTTTCCTACCCAGCTGGCAGGGTGCTCTCAAGTCTCAAGCCAATCAAGCGGATCCAACAAAAAAAAGCAACATATAATATATATCGTCAAATAGAACTGCCCGGTAAACCGTACGCAGAGAGGGAGAAGAGGACAACAAACGAGGGGCTGTGACAAACTGTTTCGTCGGAGTTTCACCGACTCATCAGGAGGCTGAACCCTCAACAGTCTGCAGAATCCCCTCACTGATTACAMTGTAAATGATAATCTACCTTAACCAAAATCGAAGTAGACTATCACTCACCCACACCAGATGGAAAACTCTACAGACTGTCGGTTCACACGCCATCACAAGCCAGCAAAACATCCACGAAACAAAGAAAGATCATATATATATTATATACTGTGTAGCATCGTGTCCGGGTTCGGTGACCGAACCCGAACATTCGGGACCGAACGCGAACGAGCGCCGAAACTCTCCGAAAGCAAACATTAAAAAAAAAAAAAAAAAAGTTCTCCAAAAAATCTGAAAAAAAATATATTCGATAACAGGTAAAGCAGTCAGACTACCTGCACCAGCTTGGTCTGACATTTTGGCAGCTCTTTCTAATAAACGAGAATGTAGATAAAACACATCTCCTGGGAAAGCTTCTCGACCTGGTGGTCGACGTAACAATAATGACATTTGTCGATATGCCAAGAGTGCTCTTGTAAATTATGGCCTTCTCCCGGAATGTATGCAATAACCTCATTTCGTGATGTAAAATAATAATACAAACAACTTTTGCCTTGGAGGTATGCTCAAATTCGTAACCAAACTCGAGTTAAAAATCAAAAACCAAAAACAATTTTATTATTATTATTATTATTATTTTAATATGTTCGGCCAAACACGTTCGGGTGGTGTTCGGCCGAACCCCCGAACATGTTCGGACGTTCGGAAAAGCTCCGAACATGTTCGGTAGGCTACACAGATTATATATATATATACAGGGTAACCGGCGTTCGGGACGGGCAAAAGGCCCGAACCCGGACGCCCGAACGTATGGGACCCCTTGGGGATGTGTTCGGCCGTTCGGGCCGAACGCGGACCCAAAAAAAAAAAAAAAAAAAAAAGGTCATCAAAAAAATCTGAAAAAAAGATATGTTATGAAGAAAAANCTCACTGATTACACTGTAAATGATAATCTACCTTAACCAAAATCAAAGTAGCCTATCACTCACCCACACCAGATGGAAAACTCTACAGACTGTCGGTTCACACCCCATCACAAGCCAGCAAAACATATATATATATATATCGTCACAAACAGAACTGCCCGGTAAAACCGTAGGCAGAGAGAGAGATATAGTCACATGGATATCAGAGCGCAAAAGCGAAAAAAACAAACAAAGGTAACAAAAAGATATCAATTCATTTTTCATCTTCTTCCTTACAACTCCACCTGTTCAAAACCTCTTGCGTACAAGGCCGCCCACGTAGATGTAGGTTGAGTGGCGGCTGCCCCCACCCCCGTGTGTCATATCGACCCACTTGCACACAGCCAAAAGGCAAAGAGGCAAAGAAAAGAGGAAGGGAACAGCCAAACATTACAGAACAGGGGGCAAACAAATCCAAGGAAACAACCAGGATACCAAAAAAGGAAGACCCGGATGACTAGTCCCACACGAAAGCACCGCTACCAGGATCAACCAGGCAACATCCCAAATAGCCGAACAACGGGACAAAACCAACCGGGACACAAACAAGGAACAAACAATAAAACAACAACAAATCCTAGATGGCACGTCCCACATGTAAACACCGCCCCCACGCCACACGCCAAACGACGGGACAAAACCAACCAGGATATCAAAACACAACTATACATAAAAGTTTCCAATGCTGATATGACTGCAGACGTCCATGAACTCGAATGCCTTATTCAGCAATTTCAACATGTTCCGACAGCAATACATAAAGGCTAATCCCGGATGTCACTTCCTACATATAAGCACCGCCCCTGCACCATAGGCCGAACAACGGAAACAACCAACCAGGATGCCAAAACAATAACCAGAACAAAATCTGCCATATCCACAGTAAAAAAACGGAACCATACAGTAGGTCCGCAAAACGAAATACCCCAACCATGGGGAGAAATAAGCAATAAAGAAAGAATCGAAATTATTTTCTACCATAACCAAAGAAGAGCCTGCTAGTACAGGCCCGACGCTCGCCGCATCATCTGCAAAAGCAGAGAGCTAGCAACGCCGGAGTATATATCGTATATATATATTGTCACATTGTGAATCAGAGCGCAAAAAAGGAAAAAGAAAAAAGGAAAAGGAAAAAAGGGGGAGGGGGAGGAGGTAAGG